TTCAGCTACAAGAGCATTAGTGAGGTCAGGCGCTGATGTTGGGATGTCGAGGAGGTCTGGGGTTCAGTCGGTGTTCCAGTTCATCCCAAAGGTGTTCAGTGGGGTTGAGGTCAGGGCTCTGTGCAGGACACTCGAGTTCTTCCACTCCAACCTTCACACACCATGTCTTCATGGAGCTCGCTTTGTGCACAGGAGCATCGTCATGCTGGAGCAGGTTTAAGCCTCTTAGTTCCAGTGAAGGGAAACTGCAACGCTACAGCACACAGAGACGATCTATACAATAGTGTGCTTCCAACCACATATGGGTGTGATGGTCAGGTGTCCGGAAACCTTTGGCCGTATAGTGTATGTATTAGAAGTTTTGTGTGTATCTGCTTCTGTAAACGAATATATCATTGAATGTCATGGTTATTATTAGGTTTAAAGCATTAAGGAACTATAATTATAGAAAATCTATGAAGCCAGTAGCCTGTTTGCAGTGCATGTTCTCTATGTTAGGCTTGTGTGTGAATTTGGCAATACTACTTTTAAACCTGTAGTGCTACCCCTGGTTCTCCTGTTTGTTTTTAGCGTGACCTCGTTGAGTTTCACATGAGCTTTAAATAAGCCTGAGCCTGAATTTTCTAAGGGCTACACTTGGTCACAAAGCACAGTTTAAAACAAATTAGAAGGGAAAAATTGGATAAATTGAGCGAAGGGGCAGTGGATCGTTCAGTAGCAGGTGTGTTTGTGTTCGACGACGATGAACGAGTGTGTACCTGCAGGAAGTTGCTTCTCCTGAGCTCAGTCATGGTGATCCTGCCTGTCCATGAGCGATTCACTGTGTAAAATATCCTCTGGATCACCTACACACACACACACACACACACACACACACACATAAAATCTTGTCAATTTCTAAACACTGGAAATCATTCCAATTGGTCATTTTTATACACTATAACGCTTTTCCACAACTCTTATTGATGCAAGTCCTGAATAAACAGTTCGTAGTGTGGTTGTGGTGGACAATTTGGAGATGGAGGGTTAATTGAGTTCATCCCTATTTATCAATTAGAGTTATATGTGCTCTGTGTGTGCGCTAATTTGCCGATAAGTGGTGCTGAAGTGACGACAGATGAATGCTAACATTTCAGACCACCTTCTGCTTTCTGGTAGTTTTGTGCTTGAGGGAACGTTGGAACAGGAAGCGACCAAATATGGGCATGTGTGTTAGGGGGCAGTGGCCTCACTGTTTCCGTGATGTCACACTTGACTATAATTACTAGCCCTTCCAACACACACACACACACACACACACACACACACAGAGAGAGCGAGAGGCGAGTCCCAGCTGTCCACAGACAGACAGACAAACACGAAGCGGTTCTTGTCCGAGTTTAACAAACTCGGATCAGATTTAAAAATAATCACACACTTTCTAGGGACCGTGGCCATGATTCAGCTACAGAATGAGAAGACAAGCACGGGCCTGTAAAGACAGCATGGCTGCCTCAGTGATGAGCGATTCTGATGCTTAATGTGACTGAGTGAAAGTGACGTACGGTGGTGATGTAGCGGGAATGGAATTCAGGAGCGTCTTTTAAAAATGTCAGACCCGGATGAGTGTCCACGACGTCCTGAAAGGAAAAAAAACCCTAGCATGATTAGACAATAATGAACAAGAAATGAATACAAAGATCTGATTTACACATACACACACACACACACACACACACACAGACCTGTAAGAGGGGGATGAAGTCTTCCTGTTCCAGGTACGTGCAGCCCGGCTTGGCCAGCAAGTAAACAAACTTGGACGCATCATCATAGCAGCTGTGTAACAACCTGCAGAGAGGGAAAGGGAATGTGTGAGTGTGTGTGTGAGTGTGTGTGTGTTTATGATATTAGGTGTTAGGGGTTAGGGCTAGATATTTTACCAGTAGTTCTAGATGTCTTGAACATGTCTAATCTACTTCTGCTCACAGCTTTCTGCATTTATATCTCACTTTCTGCTGCTATGGATGGATGGTTCCACACAGACACACTCTAAAGTCTGCACCTCCCCAAAACCGTTCATGTCTACGTCTAACCCGCATTTCAGTATTTATTCTCGCTTGGATACTACAGATTTGTACCTAAGAGCTGCTGCTGTAATCATTAAGACTGTCCTGTGCTTATCCCAGGACTCTTTTTTTTTTTTACAATCTGATCACAAGGTTTTCTCCTCATGTCGTCTCGGGGTTTTTTTTCCCAGTGATAAGGAAAAACTCTAAAGAGATCTAGATCTACATGTGGATTTCTGCAGTTTTGTTTGTGACAATTCCACAAAATGTTATATAATCACTACATTTCTCTACAATCATATATTTGTAAGGATGCCTCCTTAGCATCAGACGGATTCAGATCTAAACTGCTAACGAATTTATACGTTAACAGATGCATCAGCGAGAATGAGGCTGCTATGTACACTTTGTATTTATCATGGCAGTTTGTATTGTGACAGCTAGCTATCAGCATTCAGCTAGTTTGTACGGACAGAGTTATCGTGCTAGTAAACATTTGAGAGATCAGGAATAATGCTGTTGGTAGTTAGCATCAGCTAATGTTTTCCAAAAATAATAATTCTTCGTTCTTTGGGGAAAGGGTAACCAGTGGATGCAACGTAAAAGGTACCTGTAGGATGAGAGAAATCTACTGTCTGTTGTTGTGATGAGATTAATTTAATGACTTGATGTACCATCTAGCGGCTGTTTCTGCCTTTTCCTTGAAGATACACATTACCACAGCTCCCTTTAATCTCATCATTTTCTATTTACTATTCACCTTGTTGTGCAAAATCAGCAGAAGTGACCAAAGGAGGTATTCCTGAGGTTCCTAGTTGTTGTTCTTTCAGCTGCTCCTGTTAGGGGTCGCCACAGTGGAACCTTCCACTGTCCTCATATCGATTTTACTCTCCCACAAGCCTCCACACTTATCTGGTCTTAGGACAGCCTGTGCAGCCCCAATGACTGGGGTTGGTGCCCACTGTGGGGCTCAAACCCACGATCCTGGGATCAAGAGTCCCATGCGCTATCAACTGAGCTAGCTGGGCATCAATCTGCTTATGTAGTCATGCGTCATGCCTCAGGTATAATCCTGACTTCACGCAGGAATACGGACAATTCTGGACACCTTCGCTGAGTGTCAGCATCGAGGCTGTCATTATAGATATGAATAAATACGCACTTCCTGGCCACACTGAAATCTGATTGGTCCGCAGACACTCAGAGTGTGTTTTTGGGTGTCTTTGTTGTTTATTTTTTTGGACCCTATTTAAAAAGTCAAAACGTAATATTCAAATCCGTTTCTTGTCTTCAGTGTTGTCTTGTTGCAATATACGTCCAATTTGATAACAGAGGCGGTCATAGTGCCAACAAACTCGATGAACACCGTATCCGACTTGGTGACAGCTACCTCTCGGATGTCTTTCACCATGTGGATGCGCTAAGAGCCACTGAACATAGTGCGCATGTTCTACCTTGTGAGATGCGTGACACATACACATTTGGTAACTGTAGGTCAAAAGTCCAAGGAAATCTAGATCAGATTTCTAAAAAGTCTCAGGAAGGTCACCTGAAGGAGCGCCAAATACACATTTGGTACCACTGTGTCAAAACAGATGAACATTTCAGCAGTATAAGGACATTTTGGCCAAAACCAATGGAACCTTAAGATCTTAGAGCCGTACAACATCAAAGTTTGGTGACTTCTGATCAAAAGGTCAAGGAGATGTGAGAGTAACCCCAGTTTTGTACAATTTGGTGAACATTCTGGCGATACTAGTATAAGTCAGGTCAGGTCAGGTCAGGTCAGGTCAGGTCATAGAGCCACCAACCTTAGTGGACTTGTTCATCCAAGTGAGAACATATGAATTTGGTTAAGGAGATAAGATAATAGCACAATGCATAATTTGGTCATAGATGAAACTGTTGTGCAGGAAAGTCTGAATCTTTTGGTCACCAAACTTTGCATGCTCTTTTGTATCTTAGGCATGCATGGCATGTTATGAGGTTAACCATAAATTTGGACATTTTTGTCGTAACTTATTCAACTAAAATTTGTGAAAGTCCAGTTACATAAAATCCCTCATTTACAAAGGTCCAGAGAAGCGACTAAAATGACTGAATGGCCACAACAGTTAGCTTTTAATGCTTGACGGTTGCTTTACGGCTATAAATATATGGTCCATGTGCAAAGTCTCTGAACAATGGACAGTTTTTTAATTCAGTTTATCAGCTCTTTATTCAGATTAAGTTCTCAGTTCAGTCTGTAGAATTATTTTGCTGGGTCAAGTTGATGTTGATGTTCACAGAGTTTTGATACTGATGTTTGGAACACCATGTCTGCTCAAAAGTTTTTATAAAACTGCCAAAACTGTACTTGAAGTTTCTAAATTTTTAAATGATTAAACTTTTGACACAGAGTTATATATTTGGATATGTTATGCATTAAGAAGTCCATCCACTTTGCCTTTTGATTGTTGATTTAGATTAGGGTTTTAGGATTTACTCACTTTCGCCATGTGGCGATAAATGAATGGACAGAGACGAAGCCAGTCCTCTCTCCTCCTGCACAGTTAAACATTGGGGCCTTCCAATACAGCGGACACCCGCATGCCTGTGTCAAATTACAAATATTCTGTTATTATGGATCTAGTAATATTTTCACATACAACCTCTGAATAATGTTGCGAATCAGGGAAAAAAGTTAGGCGATAATCTTTCTCTAATTTCTGGTCACCTTGGCGATCTTGCCCATCTCGTAGATGTCGGCCTTTTCCTCCTGCAGCTTGGCGAAGGCTGCCTCGGCTTTCGCTATGGCCTCGTCGATATTACCGGTGAGGTTTGGGAGACCCGTGGGAAAATAAAATCGTGGAATGTTAATGGAGGGAGGAGGTGGGGCAGGTGGGGGAGGAGAGGGGGAACGAGGGATGGGAGGAGGAGGAGAGACGGGTTTCTTCTCCGGCTGGATCTAGAAAGAGAGATGTAGAGAAAGAGGAAATGGTTTACATGAGGTTTCAGTTTGATTAGTTACTTTGTTTGATTATTTGTTTCACATCATAATTTCATAATTAGCATATTTTACGTTATTGATTAAGCTTGAAAGTCATGAAATCAAACTCTGTCTTTTGTCTTGCTGTTATATAATTATTAGATAAATCATTAATTTGATAAATAATAACTGGAAGCTTCATAAATATATGCATATCAGGAAATGACAAACATCTAAAAACATCTACAAAACAAATATTTTTTGATATATAAACTGTTTGACATTTCCTGGTAAAAATTTTAAAAATAATAATAATAATAATAATTCCTGCACTTGTGGGAATGTAACAAATGTGCATCCAATCAGAAACTTTGCAAGGATTCATAAAAATGAGACATGAATGAGACTAAAACTAGTTTTTTTGTTAGAGTGGACTACATGACGACAAAGACAACTTCAAACCTGAGTGCATAAATAGTAATAGAAATGACTTAGAAAATAAAGAGGAAAATATAGATATTATAATAAAATTCACTGAACAGGAAGATGTTTTAAACCTTAAGCAATTTTCAAAGTTGTTTAGAATTGTCTTAAAAGCTATTAGTTGTTGTGGGAAGACAAATGACACCTCCCTCCCCGACTTTCTATTTTAAAAAGCAAAACACATCAGCATTCAATGTGGCGCGCTGTAAATCATCGTCATCGCAATGTTAAAATGATAAATGATGATGAAACCGTTTCTCACCTACTAAAGACATGCATTACTCTACTTAATAAACATCATAACCGAGCAATGCATGGTGTTTCCTCACTGCATCGCACTCACACACTGATCACACACTGACAGGGAAAACTCAGTGGAGGTTTAGATCCCATTGAGATTTTATATCACATTTGAGGTAGATTTTTAGAAAAGAAAAATAAACAAGAAATTGCAATATTCTCGGGTTGGTCATGATGGAAGTAAGAGATGGGTTAAATGGGACATCACTAACATAACATTTGGGTTTTATTTTATCAGGAATAATATTATTCCTTCTTGGTCTTCTGAGCTCTAAATGTGATTAATATCATCTCTATCAGAAATGCACATTTAGAGCACAATGGGAGTCTCAGCTGTTCTAGAACAGTGTAATGCAATGTAACACTACAATACAATGTAACACTGTATTACAGTGTAACAGTGTAATGCAATGTAACACTACAATACAATGCAACACTGTATTACAGCATAACAGTGTAACGCAATGTAACTCTGTAATAATGTAACAGCATAATGTAATGTAACACAGTCTAACAGTAATAGTATAGTAGAATGTAACAGTAGAATTCCATGTAGCAGTGTAACGCAATGTAACTCTAACACAATGTAAAAGTGTAACAGAGTGTAACGCTGTAATGCAATGTTACAATTTAACACAATGTAAAACTGTAATGTAATGTAACACTAACACAACCGGAATAGTGTAATGCAAAGTAACAAAGTAAATGCAATATAACACCATAATAGTGTAACAGTATAATGCAATATAACTGTGTCACACAACATAAGAATATAATTCGCTGTCACTGTGTAATGGTGTAACAGTGCAATGCAATGTAAAACTGTAGTAGTGTAACAGTAGAATTCAATGTAGTATTGTAACGCAATGTAACTTTAACACAATGTAAAAGTGTAACAGTGTAAAATTCTAATGCAATGTGACACTGTAATGCAATATAACAGTGCAACACAATGTAAGAGTGTAACAGTGTAACGCAATGTAGCGATGTAACACAATGTAAGAGTGTAACAGTGTAACGCGATGTAGCGATGTAACACAATGTAAGAGTGTAACAGTGTAACGCAATGTAGCAATGTAACACAACGTAAGAGTGAAACAGTGTAACGATGTAACACAATGTAAGATTGTAATGAAATGAAACAGTATAACACTGTAACAGTGTAACAGCATAACAGTGTAAAGCAACGTAACGCTCTAACGCAAGGTAACAGTGTAACGCATTGTAACATTGAAACACAACGTAACAGTGTAACACAGCGTAACAGTGTAACACAGCGTAACAGTGTAACACAGCGTAACAGTGTAACGGTATAACACAGTGGACCAGTGTAATGTAATGTAACACTGCAACAGAGTAACCGTGTAACACAATGTAAAGTTGTAACACGTAACACAATGTAAAACTGTAAGACAATGTAACAGTGCAGAGTTCTAAATTCTAAACTTGACATTCTAGAATGTAAGCATATTCTAGAATGTAAGCAACAATCCATTTGGAACACAGGCCAGGAAAATCTTCCTCTAAAAACACAGCACTATGAACAATACATAGGGTGGCAGACCAGAGTATTTTATGATCCTTTTAAAGACTAAATAAGAAGCCTATTGTACATAACCCTTCCTAAAGACTACATAAGAGGAGACTATTGTATATTAGTGAACCACTAAACGCTACATAAGGAGCCTACTCTAAATAACCCTGAATAAACACTACATATGAACGCTATGTACCGTACTTCGCCATTGTTTTGTCAGTATTAGTGTGATATTAATTGAATGGAGTGGGTCATTTTGGTGAGTGAGAACAGAGTGTTTGTGTGTGTGTGTGTGTGTGTGTGTGTGTGTGTGTGTGTGTATGTAAGGGTAAGCATGCTGTTTCGGTCTTAAAGCATGGCATGCACACACTCTGATTTCTAATTTACACTCCGGACACTTCGTGTTATTCACAGCTGACAGCTAACTCCCCATTCTGTCTCTCCAAGGACCATCGCACATCAGCTGAAGGGTAAATATCTGCTCGCTTAAAGGCCACAGGCAGGTGTGTATCACACCACACACACTCTACAGAGTCATGGAGCCAATGGTTGATCCGAGGTTCTTCATCATTCTCCTGATCTATCACTCTGCACGTATCAAATGGAATTTGTAATATTGTTTTGAGAAACTTTAACACACACACACACAACAACAACCTTTGGAACACTTGTGAGGATGTTTGGCAACTTGGATGCTAACAATTTAGCAACCTAGCATGTAGCTAGTATGCATCTTATAC